TTATCATACTAGAGAGAGGAGAGGACGAAAGTGACTATACCGTTGCTCTGCTATTGTTACAGCTTCATTACATAAAAACTCATTACAACCCAAGCAATCTGTTTTTTTTTCTGCATAAAATTATCGTATCTTCAAGCACTCCGACTTATTCTTTCAATTCATCATCATCCAACTAACTTTATTTAAAGTCAAGATATGATTTTGATTTAAACCTTATACTTTTCTGTGTGTGCATATGGCATTACATATTTCCCAACAATGTACTGTACATATGTGTGAATTGACTGATGATTGAATTGTACTTTCGTTACTTCGAACACATATAAAGTATGATTATATGAAATAAAATATCTTACCTAGACATATAACAAAGCCAAACAAAGAATCCAATTACGAGAATAAGAAAGATCACGAAAATAATAGCGAAGGTTATTCCAAAGATTTTTCCAGGTGACCAACTCTAAAAAAAAACAGAAATTAGTGAACATCTAAGTAGTAACACAAATATTGAATGTATGGTAACATTGTATTATTATTTCTTCCAGATAATTCTTACACTTTGTGTAATAACCTTTATCGGATAACTCTCAATGGTGTATAGATTTCAGACGACAACACAAAGCAGTGATTATAGATTTCACATTTTTGAAACCATGAATCGATCAATGTTAGACCACCATTAGAAACCTGGAAGCACTGAAAGACGGCCGTTTCGTCCTGGTATGGGACTCCTCAGCAGTGCGCATCCACGACTCCTGCACCCCGCAGGATTCGAACCCAGGACCCGCAGTATTGCGCGCGAACGCCCTAACCGTCAGATCACTGAGCCGGTATCTAACAGTGTTAATGTCTAACGGCCGTCCAGTGCTTCCAGGCTTCTAATGGTGGTCTAACATTGATCGATTCATGGTTTCAAAAATGTGTAACTTAACAATCTTCACAACCCCGTAATGCAGATTATAGATTTGTAGTGATCCACTTTTATGAAGAGAACGCGATTGGTTTAATAAAAACATTCATTATTATAACCAATTGTACCAGTGATTGTTTTATTGTACCTTTTTGTTTATTTGTACTGGAAGCACACATTTTCTGTTGTCTGTGACCTTGGCCTTGCTCATGTACTCACGGTAGTCTCGCCTGTAAACTTTGGCACGATCTCGGTAGTATTTAGATACGACGAGGTCTCCAGCAAATATATAGTAATCACAATCTTCAGTTTTCCTCCTAATTCCTGTTCTGCGGAGGGATTTAACCTGGTAATTGGCCTGTAGTGGTGATCATAGTCAACTACTACTTGTCCCAATACAGATTGTTACTGTATAACATAGGTCAAAAGGCCACAAACAGACGAAGTAAACAAGAACAGATATGCGTATGCGGGAGAATAAATGAATAAGACTTAAGAAGTATATAAATATATATATATAGCGGAAAACTTCAGAGGATGCTTTAAATATAACCTTATAAATTGGTTAGCATTTATATAAAAATTAATTGATAGCAAACTGTACGGACATCACACAATACACTCAGCTTTTATAGCATTCAAGAATAACTTTCAATTTATGATGAGTTTCTACCTCTATCGGCCTGCGGACTTCCTCATTTAATTTTTGGAAAGTGCATTTAATTAGGATTATGAATTTATGTTTGTTTGATAATTTTTTCACATTTATGTTGAAATCATTCGGTTTATTTTTGATAATGGATGACTGAAGATTTCCAGTGGGATGCTCAATATTTTAGTACGCTACTTCCCTAAATCCGTAATTAGTGAGTATCAACAACTTCATTTTGTGAATAAAATAAGTGTATTCTGATGGATGGATGTTTTAGTTGTGGAGCCTTCATTGTTTTTCTGAACAATATCTATCATCAGCATAAACTTCAGGTAGAAGTGAAGTATTAGAATTTCTCCACATATGACTCGCAGCAGCCAACTTAGAGAACATAACTCCGTCACAACCATCCACCTGAGCTACAAATTTTCTGCACCATTTCAAAATAAGTGTATTGTATCACGCTACAACTTGCATTCTATTGAAAACTGTATGGTAGCCTGCAAACTATTAGTTGGAAAACGTTTTCAGGCCACAAATGAGGTTCTGAGGTTTCGATGTGAGTTGATCAAGATTAGTCTGTTTATTTTAACCAATTAAATTTCATTCTCTGATAATGTCACATCAATTTTTGACACAGCTTGTTATCAAATGTTGAAGTTGGTTTTGAGAAACCTGTAAAACGATCGTGTTATTAGTTGAGCTGGAGTTTCATTTAACAAATATGTTTATTCTATTTAAAATTAAATAAACAGTGTAGTTGCACAAAAAATGTTTAAAATAGCATAATATGAAAATCGGCACTAGTAAGTAGGACAATTTTCATCTAAACAGATACACATTAGTTGGACTGTAACCTGAATACTCACTTTATCTAATTCACAAAAATATCCATCCCATTCTGGTGGACAAGAACATCTTGCACTCAAATTACCAGAATGAATTATACAAATCCCACCATTCAAACACATTCGCTTTGGCAAATGTGTAAATAATAACTTGTATCTTTCATTTACCGGTATACAATCAACAACTGGTTCCGTACAAAATTGTCCCCTCCAATTATCTGGACAAATACATACAGTTTCATCATCATCATCATCATAATTATTAATCCTTTGATTATTATTGATCGTCTCTTTTTCATTGTCGTCTCTTATAAGTTCACGCAGTAGTGTACAACGACCACCATTCTTACATGGAGATCTGTCACATGAGTAATAGGATGAATGACATTCTGGGCCTGAAATGAAGGCATTTCAAAATAAGAGTGTATGAATACGTAAAAATTTTCGTTTCAATGTTATTCAAATTGTCAGTAGTATAATCTTTTTTAACAAGGTCAAAGTGGGTTTTTTTTTAATAATAAAAATGTTTGAGATGGTGGAGAAAACTTGTAGCTCAGGTGGATGATTGTGGTGGTGTTTCGTTCTCTGAGCTGGTTGTTCTGGTTGTGGAGCTTTCATTGCTCTTCTGAACAACATCATCAGCACGAACTTCATATAGAAGTGAAGCATTAGAATTTCTACACGTTTGACCTGTAGCTTGTTCTGCTAACCTCGATCTTGATTGGTTGTTGTTGACCTTTGACCTGTCGTTGTTTGCAACTATGTTTTGATTGCCTCCCTCTTTTGATCTATTTCTTGATCCAGTGTCACCTATGATTCTCCTGATTGGTTGATAAATTGGGTCAATGTCGATGTGTTTGTTGATTGCTAATTGACCTGAGTGCCAAGCTTCTAAAAATTCTCTAGTGTTCTTTGTCCTCCCCCTACCCAGTATTTCCACGTTGTTCCAATCAAATGTGTGTCCATAGTTGTCGGTATGTATTGAGATAAGCGAAGCGTTGTCGTGGCGTTTCACTGCTAATTGATGTTCACGTAAACGGAGATGAAGAGGTGACACTGGATCAAGAAACAGATCAAAAGGGAGGATACAATCAAAACATAGTTGCAAACAACGACAGGTCAAAGGTCAACAACAACCAATCAAGATCGAAGTTAGCAGAACAAGCTACAGGTCAAACGTGGAGAAATTCTAATGCTTCACTTCTATCTGAAGTTCGTGCTGATGATGTTGTTCAGAAGAACAATGAAAGCTCCACAACCAGAACAACCAGCTCAGAGAACGAAACACCACCACAATAAAAATGTTTCCCTGAGTAATGGCTAACTTTAGAATAGTATTTCTTAATTACTAATAGGAATTATTAGGCTTAAAATGTTGTATGGTTGTCAATGGTTTTGACTCAAAATGTTATTGGATTACATCTTTCTGAACTGACTTAAAAGATAATTGTCTGCATGTCCTTAAAATAGGTTTGACGAAACTCATTAGTAAAGGTATATCAATATCATTTACGATATTCATAATTTCCAAGCGTGGGATCACTTCCAAGATAGCCACTGAAAACATTACAACTAACAGTTCTAGTAAAAATAAACTGTTTAGAACCGGTACAATATTCCCCTATCTGTCATTTGAAGCATTTTCTTCTAGAGCTAGTCCGAGAAGCGAGGAGTATGAATCCATTGAGAAAATATATATATATATATATATATATATATATATTCAGCTTGATTTCCCAAACATTTTGTCGATAAGAATGTCAGTAGAGATGACAAAATAGTAAATAAGTTTTCAAATTTGACTTTTGTAAATCAAAATGAACATTTACCTTCATAATTTTTACAAATACATTTTCGACGATGTTCTCTTGGTAGATTTTTACAGCGTGTATTCTTAGGACAAGGATGTATTTGACAATAGTCAATAATGTCACAATTAACACCTTGTCTACCTGAAATAAACATAACACTATGACTAATATTAAAATCAACTGGTAAAACAAATAACATTAGACTTAAGGAAGAACATTTTTGGAATTCTTCTTATTGATAAACTGTTTTTAATAAGAATATAATCAAGCAACTCAGTCTATGAAAAACACTGTGTTCACAGATAGCTAGCTACCTTTCTAAGATCAAGAGATAAGTTTAAAACTCACATATAGTTTGATGTGAACTTTTAAATTCAAAGCTGATTACTTGCATGGTAAAATGTAAAGTAAGCAAACAGAAGATTTGTACTTCAGATAGAAGATGACAATTATTTAAAGCTATGATTTATGCACAACCCATGACATAATTTAATAAACTCTATTAGCAGATCGTTTAACTTTTAGAAATTTCGAATAAATATGGTTATCAATTAATAAACCATGGACTAGATTGTATATCTCGTTGTCATAGGAAAGAGAAATTAGAAATAGTTCACAGATCAGTTTATTAGACATTTAGTCCAACGACTAAAATGTTATGGTTTATGAAATACTCTTGATTGGTTTGACCGAATGACTGATGTATAAAATATATCTTTGTCTCTAACTTCATTTGATTTGAAAGATATGAATTATGTGGTTTCAAAGTTTTAAAACATGAATATCAGTATTATTTCTAATTACTATTAAGTGAAGATAAAATTTTCAAACGTATGACTGTTCAATAAAAGTGTTCTGTTTGTATCTCTTTCATTTTTCTCTTTGTTGACTTAGTTATGTTCTTCACTAGGTATGCTTGAAGCTATTATGAGTTCACCTTAGTCGATAAACGCGAACGAGACAATTATCAGCGTACAGATAGGCTACCTTGAATCCCAGGCTGTAAACAGAAGTCTTTGTAAGCGTAGAAAGTACGGTCTACAAACACCCAGCAATCACAATACAATCAAGCACACAACTCTCGTTTATTTATACATCATAGAAACGTCCTCGGGACAGTTATGAAAATAGCATACTAAACTACACAGCAGCCAATCACAGCCATGGATTTTCCTGGTGGGAAATGAAATCTCAAGGTCAACTGATCAGCCCATGCTGGCAAACGTGAAATCCAAAATAAGGCATTTATCAAGCGAGTTCTGGGGATCTGACATCCCTAACACTATTTTTTGGCATATTGTATCAAGCCAAAAGCTGACTTCGTTACTAACTAACTCTTTACACGAGCTTGTAGAATTCAGCTTATTTGTCATTGTAAATATTAATGTTTACAACGATTATTTTCAACCTGTGTGCGTTCTTGGAAGTTCTGATTAGGACTCGAGTCCCGAAGTGCATTTCAACCCTGGATATATCCGGCTGATGAGTTACAAATAGGATAAAACGTGAGTCCTGAATTCCACTTGTAGTGACTCCACTTTTAGGAAGAGAACGCGGCTGATTCAATAGAAACATTCCTTATTATAACCACTTGTACCAGTGACTGTTTTACTACACTCTTTGTTTGTTCGTACCTTGTAAGTGTAAACTTTCCATTTGTGTTGCTGACATTTTGGTTCTACTGCTCTCTGTAACTTTACCCCTTCTTCTCTGGCACAATTTCGGTATTCCTTCGATATCACGAAATCGCTAGCAAATATATTCCTTTGTTTGGATTAACTCGTCTTCCCTGTCTTTGATGCACAGAGATACTGCAGTCAGTAATTGGTCTTTAGTGGAGTCCACAGTCAATCACGACACGCGCCATTACACACTGCCAGCTACCATTCATACCTGCTAATAAAGTTTGTATTTCTACGGTGCCCGTTTTGATTTCTATCTGTTATTGTCAAATTATTAACAAATAGTCTATCAAAGGTTTTGTAATGTTATGACTTCAAGAAAGACGACATAAAGTTTTTTAGTGAAAATCTTTAGTCAATAAAAGAAGTTTCAAACCAAACAAAAGGAATATCTTTAAAAATGTTTACCATGTAAACAAATTTTTCGTCCATTCGCATCACACTCGTATGCCCATGGATGAGGTGAACAAAATAGGTCACATCTGTTCCCGTAAAAATTTGAATTACATGTTAGTTTTACCGACGAGCTAAGTCTTCAAAAAGACAGAAAGTTAGTATTGAAATTAGTTCTATTGGAAGAAAATGCTGGATGAGTTTTGAAACTTGAAATCAAGTTTTAAAAAATATAGTTAGTGGAATAGAACTCATACTGTTGAGCAGTATTGTGGTGTGTGCTACTTATACGAACGATATAAGTAGTATAAGAAGGTACTTGAAAGAAGAAGCCTCACGGTCAGAAGAGGAAAACGGAAATCAAATGGAGCAAAAGCAAGAAGTAACTGGAGTACCAACAGGAAGTAAAGGAAGCATCAGCATGAATGGAAGAAGGCTGAAGCGTTGGAAGTCAGGACTCAAAGATGGTGTGCAAATAGAGTGTTCAATGTAATGTTTTCGTTTTTAATTGACCAAGGGTGCAAATTTGCAAAATACAATCGTCCGCGCCTGCCTCTGTCTTCTCAGTATGGTGAAACACGTTGTGTAGTTTGTAAATGTCGCTATTTTACTCAATATTGTAAAACTAATAATCCTGTAAAATTATTTTCGGGAAGATAATTCCTAATAAACACATTATTCTTATTATTCGTTTGGGAAGTTTGTTATAAATATTAAATTAATCAAAGTTTGTGAATAATTTAGCTGCTACAGGATTAGATTGAATACAAACATATACAAGTGTGATAACAGTTGAAAATTTTCTTAAGTTTCATTTTAAGTGTTGAAGATGTACACCAGAAATGATTGCTTTTTTTTCACAGGAATACTCAACTCAAAGATAAGTTCCACGAAGTTCAGGGCGGTTAAAATTCTGATGCATTCAGAGAATTCAGTGTTAGGGGAACATAGATGAATTAAAGCATGACCACGTTGGTAAGCGCTGATTGGCTAATTTCTTATCCAATCAGAGCCTGATCGATTCTTGCAGAACAGGGTAGAAAATTCTCGTATTGTTAGCTGCGTGCTGATTGGTTAAATCTAATCCAGTCGATCACGTGAATTTCTATCTGGAAGCTTCTCATGTAAATGCTATAAAGAAACTAACGTTGTATCTATTTTTGCCTTCGGCTTCTTATTTCCATTAACCTTTCTATTTGAAATATAATCTTTTCCTGTTCCACCGTGTTTTTGATTCTTTGGAACTTGTCCAGTGTATTGTGGTCAGAGAATACTAAGCAATAGGATTTAGCTGGGAATTATTTAAGCAAGCATTACAACATTTAGATTTCTGCTGTTTAAATATGTTAGATGATGTTAAAAGAAAGCCAGATGATGATTATGGTTTTAAGGTGATATTTCAGGTAGATGTCACAAGAAGTTCATGTAAAAAATAAAGTACAAATCTGTTTGATTTTTGACTCATTAATTGATCACCTATAGATGCAGACTGTGTAGATTACAAATTAGCTAGTTTACTTATAAAAAAAATATTCCATTTTGTAATATTATCAATAAACATAACTCTTATATAGCTGTTATGTGATTAGCAGATATTCTATAGCAAGTTAGAAATCGTCACAGTAGCCACTATCAGCTTATTTCGAAATAGAAAGGTGTCATTTGAACGTGTTTCATTTTCTTTAAGTTTTGTTGATTTCATGGAGTTAGTTTTCTTTAATTGTAACAGCATTAAAAACAACAACCTCCAAAATTGTGATTCAAAAATACTATCTGAAGGAAAAAGCTTTATGTGACATTTTCAACTATAGAATTTCGAAGTAATGTTGGGCAGTGCTTACAAGCGAACGATGTTTGAATAGAATCGTCACCTGTCTTTCTTTTAGTCAATTATTTCATGTTCCATGTTACACTAGACAGTTATGTAAAGGTGAATGCAATGCATTCAACAGCTTCTGATCTGAACATCTTTTAAATGATGATTAACTTCTCCATGAAAAACTCTATTGAAAACTATCTTCACAATTGAATGAAGTAGTGTCTTAATTGTTTTAATTGTCAGAAATTGATGCAAAGTACAGATTTTTTTAAACCTAACAATTCAAACTTATTAGTTGGGCAGTTATTTTCCACTCTGCTTATCTAAATGTTATTCTTACTTCACTAGTGTTGTGGTGCGCGCTACTTATAAGTAGTATATGACGTGAGTGTCAACGTAATGTCTGGCAGCAGAAGATGGGGAAAGATCAAGAAAGGAAGAGTGGGAACACAATGGAATTTGTATGAAACGCATGAATAGTGAACTGTCAGACAATGGATTGATGTTGGATTGAAGATTTGCAAATTAACGGTTACGATATGGTTTTCCTATTTTACTGAGTAACTCTGTAATTTTCGTTACATACAATTCGGTTGCCCTCACCTGTGTTCTCCTTCACTACAGTGTTAACCTTTATCTGTTAAATCACTTCTGTTCAGTACTTTTGTCTGTTTTGTTTCAGAATGATATATATAAGTAAGGCTACATGCAACAATATAGTTTCAATAAACAACTTAGCTGGGAGCTTGTTATTTAGCTTGATATAAATTATTATGAAAAAAAGAAATGCTAACCTACCTGAAAGAATCACTTTCATGGCTATAATTTAATGGGATTTCTTGAAATAAACTGGTTTTATTCAGCCGAAACAGTCCAATTGCCTTGATAATAAGATCATGTTCACCCAAAGCATCTTCATCGTAGGCATAAATTTGTAAACGATATTTTTCCTATGAAATGAACATAAGTATATTATTTTTATTCTATAATGAAGGCTATTCTATCATATAATAAGTTAAATATTCATCTGTGCAGAAAATTGTCAGATTCTTACTATTTGCAAGATAATGGCCGACCATATGCTCAATTCTGTAGGTTATTTAGCGCGATTGGAAGAAGTAAGAAAATTTTCTTGGATTTAGTTTTTGGGCTGACTGACATTTGGGAGTACAGTTTACATACAAAAGTGCGGCAACTCATATTCTTTGTGGGTCACGAACTCGGACACCTAGATTATCAGAATGTGCTGTTGTCAGTGAGATATTCGGGTAAAGGATGACCTATTGTTCCATACTCACCGGCCCGTGTTTTGAAATTATTCAGAAATTCCATCATGAATCAATTCGGTCATCAGTATGGCGTCCAACCACCACCTACATTTTATACAAGTGATGTGAATTCATTTGGAAACGCTGTTCAATGACCTGGACCCAGATCCTATAGTTTTGAACTTCCACCCCAGGATTTTCGGTCTACACCTTTTCGAAGTGACAATGGATTTTCGCTTTGTGCCGCCCCAGTACTACAACAGAGCTGGCATAATGCCTTCTTCAGATGAAACTTGTGTTAATTTTGTAGAACGACTACCAATAACTGCTGAAGCTACTGAAAATAACGCTGTAGCCCTTGGTTACCAGAATCATTTTGGTTTTCGTGTTCCTCCCGAGATTCCTAATTGGATGAATTTAAGTTCTTCAACTAATACCTTTTACACTGATATTAAAAACCATGCCTCACAACCTAATCCAGCACCTAAGGTATTGCATGATCTGTGATTCAGTTTAATGAATTCTGCAAAATTCGTGCTTTAGCATGGTTTCGTAACCTTCCCCTTGATTGGCAGCTCCTGTCTGTTTTCTCTCAGAACAGATTATTGCTGATGGCGTCTAGCCAATGTATCTGGAATATCTTATGTAAACAACCGTTTATAAATGTTTGTACGTTTTGATTATGGATGTCATAGGTCGCCAAATCTCAGCTCTGTACGATAGAACTGTAATGTTACGTTTGTGTTGAAAATGCTGACTTTGACGTTGGCTGTCAGTTTTCTAGAGCTTCAGATACTCTTCAGTTTCAGAAATGTTACCCCTGATTTACCAACTCAAACCCTCATATCTGCATCAGATTTTCTCAGTTTATCAGTCGTGCTACACAGGCATATAAAAGCTTCCACTAATTTCAGAGTTTTTCCATCAAAAGTAGTTTGACTGATGATAGACATTATATTTTAGAATCTTGCTTTTTCCCCTGTAAATTTTTAGGCCCATAACCGAAGAGGCCATCGTTTCATAGAGTGTCTTCATCTGCATTTGTTAGTACGTTCATGATAGTAGGGCTAATCCCAGGTAAAATACCGAACCATTTAGAGCGTCCTCAGCATTTTATGCTATTCCTGAGACTTAGAGTTATTAACCATCCAGTCAATAGTTAGAAGAAAGTGAACAAGCTTGCCTGACATTAATTTTTGTATGGACTGCAATTTTGAGTTTCCCTCTGTATATGACTTCACAATTCAGTCCGTTTCTTGGAGTTTCACAAGATGGCAATTATCTTTTCAGATTCGCTACACTGTCAAAAATTTCACAAGATCCTCCTATCCATTTTTTCAAACGCTCTCTCATAGTCAAGGAATTTGATTTATAGTGATGAGTTCCATTCAAATGATCCACAGTCTTGAGATTTGATCAGCACACCTAAAAAATCTTTCACTTCGTTCAGCAACACTATCGAACTTTTTTCTTGGTACTGATAGTAAATTGATGTCTCTGTAGTCCACACACTCGTTAAGATCTGCTTTCTTCGGTATCCTGACGAAGTATCTTTCTTTCCAGTCTGTTGGAACCTGTTCTTCTTCTCAAGTCTTGTTGAAGGGAGAATGGAACATCCTTGCAGTTTTATGTCTAATTTCAATGCCTCAGCTGGTATGTTATCTGGCCCTGCTGATTTGTCTGATGGCCAAGCTAACCTCTTTGATTGTTCATGGTGTGATATTTATGGATAGGTCTGAAGGAGCTACTCCTATGGTAGGTGAATTCCCTGAGTCTGGTTTATTCACGAGTTCTTGAAAGTGCTCTATCTAGCTGTTCTGTTATTACTGGATGTCGTTATTGGTTTAGCTTCTTAGTTCAATTTGGTTTATTGTATTTTTCAACAAGCTTTGTTGTATCGTATGATTATCTCATGCAGCTTATCTGCTATCATTGTTAGACCTTCTACATATTTTTGCTTATCAGCTCTGATACTCCTCCTCACTTCATTATCTGCTTCAGTGACTTGTCTTTTTCTGCTCTTGTTCAGCCGATATTGGTTACAAAACGTCTGACATGTTTGCACTCTTGCTTCTTTGACCCTTAACCGTTACTTTCTATAGTGGTCTTCTCTTAGTCGATTTTTGTAAGGCTTGGAATTTATTGCTGAGAGCTATATTGGACTTGCTGATTCGCCTGGTATCTCGAAGGAATTATTGCTCAACTTTTGCAATGTTCATTGTAAAATTATCCAATGCATTTTTAGTTTTACTTCTAGCCTCTCCATTATCAGGTGGTTAAATGAAGCTACATCAACTCCTCTCTTTGTTTGCACATCTTCCGTCGACCTGAATTTCTCATCAATATCCTTCTATGTGTAATGTTTTGTGAAACCTATTTAGCTTTGTTTAAATGTTTTCAGAGAGGGTTGGACAGTTTCTTTTACAATCATGTTGTTGTCAGTCTCTTACCAATCACGTTCCTCTCCTTCAGATTGTCTTCTAGTAATACCTTCATACCTTAACGTTTAGGCTTCACAAGAACACGGTTAGGTTTTCTCTTGAACATTAATTTATGATGGACTACAGCCCCTCATAAGACTGGTCTTTATCTCTTTCGTTACTATCATCTGTGGATGTATAACACTGTGTGACAGCAACTGTATTCCGTTTGTGCTTTGTTTTGGAGTATACTGTAAGTATCCTGTAGTCAAGAGTTTCCCATTTTATAAGCGCTGTTTATGTCAACAGTATCAGTGTATTTACTTGTGTGTTGTGGAAATTTTTCCTTCATGACCAAAATGTAATAACAGCTCTCCTGATGCTGGTCTAGTCTTTTACATGTCCAGATTCGATTCAAAGAGTTTCACTTGTTCCAAGCACGCCCACGTTGTATCCTTCTAATTCTGTGACTTTTTGAAGATATTCTAAATCTTCAATATTATTCGTAAATTTCGCACCCCAATTATAATTGTTGCCCCGGTTATCGTGAGGAGTGTATGGCAGTCAATACTTGATGTATTTTCTAAATTTTTAATTTATTTCTTCTCCTGATAACCCTTATTAGGTGACGTCCAATGGTGTATACAGTTCAAAAGACGGATACCAAATAAAAGCGAAATGATTTGAGAATGCTGAGGAATGAATGAATAGAATTAAAATGTTCATGTAAATACATAGGGAAATAAATGAGTAAAACGAATTATTCATCATCATCATCATCAATAGATGCATAGTCTGTAATCCATGCTCAAGCACACATGCTCGTACAGTAGCAAAAATAATAAAATTACAGTGATACAGACATATTGTTGTTTTTCTTTAATACAGAAAAGAGCTTGACTAACTTTGACATAAACAAACTCAAATATATATATTCAGTGCTATAGC